AGAAAATATCCTCGTGATCGTGAAGATGAGAAGTTCATCTATAACCTGCTCACACACACATCACCTGAAAGAACTGCACCACGGCTTCCACTTGTGGAGGGGAAAGTGAAACTCTCCTCCTCCTCCTCTCCGACGCTCCCTTAACTCCTCTTTCCTCCTGCTCCTCCACCCAATCCAGGGCTGCCATTTGCACTTCTCCGCATCCCCTTTTAAGTGTGAAATGTATTTATATTCAAAGCGGAGAGAAGAAGAAGAATAGGGGGGAGAGAGAGCGGAGAAGGTGACATAGACAATCTACTGGCAAAGGCGCCTCCTTCTGATATCTGTAAAGTACCGAATTTCTCTGGATAAACCGGGACAACGAGGAGCTTTCAGTGGCGGTGGGCGGGTGCTGGGACCATGCGGAAGGTATTTGAATTGGACCGCTGTGCTCTCAAGGCCACACGGGAAAGTTAATCAACGGCAGTGAAAGGAAAAGTGAGCCCAAGCTGAGGAAGCTGGAGAGCGGGAAGAAGACATTATGGAGGGCAGGAGTAGTGAATGAGATCTTAGTCCGTTCTGCCCTTTGTAATATGACACTGTTTAGAATCTTTTTGGGTTGCAATCAATCCCCCCCACAGGTTAAACTATACCGCCTGCTTGACAATGCGAGTCATGCATCGCTGGCCCCTTATTGGGATGCATCAGACGATCGTGTCTGGCAGCCCTCCGGTACCCACACGGAGCCAACAGTGAGAGGTCTCCAGGTCTCCTTTAAACACTACTATTACTTTTTAAAATCTTTTAAAGCCGCTTTGATTCATTTTTAATGTCGATGAATATTTCACCGCACACCGCAGTTAGGCGTTTGTTAAAAATGAAAAAATAAAAAAGGCAAGAGTGGAACGAGAGATGCACAGGGAGGGAAAAAGTTGGAGGTATCGAAATGCACCCAAACTCAAACCAATTTCTCTCCCCGGTGCCTCTCGTGCTCCACCGACTCCCTCTCTGGTCCATTGTCAATGGAAGGACGGCGCGCCAGTATCAGGTCCCATCATGCGATGTCGCGTCGGTGGAGATGTGTGTCACGAAGCGCTGAATCATGGTGGGTGTGTGGCGAAAGGATGGCGAGTGACGAGTTGTTTCTGTGGGGCGCTGTCACAAAACGTTCCTCCCAAGCCGTCCCGACGGATCGGCCTCCGTCCCACGAGTCCCAAGAGAGACTCTCGACGGAGGAATCCTCCACCCGCGGCGTCAAAACCGCGCCTGGCATCCACATGATGCGCAGCCCTGACGCGAAGAGGCATTCATTGACAAATGTGACGCTTAAAAGAGTCACCACAGACTGTGAACGGGCAGGATGGGAGAAAACGCGACGTAGAGTGAAAAACGAGGCCACGTTTGCAGATATCAAACAAACACGAGTGGCCTCCCCGCGGACACCAGCAGTCAACCAGCAGCGAATAAAGAGCCAGACGGCTTCCTCAGCGATCCGCTGTTCAACCGAGGCGATGACGGATTGGGTTGGAGGAAAAAAAAAAAAAAAAAAGGCAAAACTGTGGACTCATAGTTTAACGGAAAAAGGCCGTTAATCCATCTCGGAGTGGCAGACCCCTCGAGTTCCTCCGGCGAGATCGAGCAAACAGACAGAGCGGCGGCGGAGATAAAGCGGCGGAGTGCAGATCTGATTAGGCTGCCGTCTCCGCAAACCCCTCTGGGATTAAGCACAACAGACCCCTTGTTAGACCTCCGCGCTTTGTTCCACGCGGCGCATTCGTCATTAGCAGGAAAGAAAAAAAACACAACTCCACCGCCTAATTAACACACTCCCGCACGCAGCACACACTCACGTGTTGACGCGCGGCTAATGGGCCACCGGTGCCGGATAAATAACATCATGACTAATGTTCTCCGTGGAATGTGAGGCCCCTTAAAAATCAGAACAAATGAAGCGTTTATTATATAAGTCTTGGTTGGGTACGAAATGCCACTAGAATTCACATTTGTGCGCTTAAACTGTCATTAGCATTTCTACGTAAGCTGTCGTGAGATCACAGCCAAGTGTGTGCACACATCTGCCAAAGTAGCATCGTACTGATATTATTATTTTTGCAAGACTTTTATTTGTCTGTATTTTTTCAATAATACATTTCCTGGTGTCTCATTCACTTAATTAAATCTATTATGCGAACGCGCATTCAAATTTAACATAGCATATGTTCTAATTTGTTTTATTGCAACCTTGTGCATGATTTAAATTGACTATGATGAGAGGAAGCCCTGAATAAATCTAGAGTTATTACCGCCAAAATAAGCAGCGAGTAAACTTAGACAGTTGTTGGTTGAGGGGAAAAGATGCAAAACTATTGTGGCAGAGCCGATGAGGAGAACTGCAGAGTCAGATGAAAATATCTGTGTGTTCATCACAACTGTACGACTGACTTATTTCACACTACACGCTTGATCTATTGTTAATATGAAAACGTTGATTAAAGCAACTTTTAAATACAGTTGTGCAACATTAGATTTACTCGGGTGGAGTTTTCTTTCATATTGGTTTAGGATAGATATTCTTCCGTGAACGTTTTTCTGGGCAGTATTGCAGTCTGGGCTTTTCATCTAGATTGATACTGTCATGTGATGTGCTGAGCTGTGCTTTTCTTTGAGGACTAAGACTTCTTCAAGAGCCTTTTTAATTGATGGAATCTGTCCTGTCAGATTTTATGGCTTTTCCATCACTCACTCTCATTCCAGGCTTCACTTAATCCGTCTTTCTCCTCCAACACCTTCTTCCCCATTGCTGCCAAATTCTCTTTTAGACTTAACTCAAATTGAGCCTCAAAGAAAAGAAAATCTCCTCGAATTTTAATGGAGGAAAATCCTCTTGTCACACATGAAAGAGGCATGTCGACTTGGGAGGTAGATGGAGCGATAAGTCCTCATCGGACCATAAAAACAGCGGCTTGAGTTGTCGACTCAGAAGCAATGTATAAAGTGTGATATTTCACTATCTCATATTACACTTTCCGTATTTGCTTCATGCAGATCTTCCTGAACAGAAACCCTCACTTTAATAGCTTTCAAGATGAAGCCGTATTTGGTTTCTGAATGAGTCGCTTCCTTCATGGGCTTCTTCTCCCTGTGCTCAGTCTCTTCCTCAATTTCTAAATGTCAGATCTTTTCTCACAGATCTTTCATATCCCCCAAAGTCTTTCTTCTCTGTCTCTGTTTTTTTTTATTGAGGATGTTTGCAAACACACTAGAAATGACTTATTGGAAATAACCAGATTAGACTGAATCATTTATGTGCTTTACAGTAATTTAAACTTCAGCAATAACATAATTTGTTTGACAGCCAGGTTAATGTCGAGGATGTGTTGTAGCTACAGAAAACATCCTATTAGCACTACAGAATATTAAATAATAAACGAGTAAGTAGGTGAACATGCACAATCAAATCACTGAGAGCAATCAGTTTGTGTGTGTGTGTGTGTGTGTGTGTGTGGACGCCACTTTTCACAGCTGCAATTTACAATTGAAAAGACTGATGATGAATCTTGGCCCATTAATTGGGTTACGCTGCTTCGCATTTATGACACAATTTGATACAACGCTTTTACGGGGTTTGAATGAGAGCTTTAATAATCAGAGTAATGCTGTAATATTATAACATTATTTACCTGGAGAATCATCAGAGTGAGCCGGGAAGAAGAGAGTCCTTGTTTATTAAATTCAAGATGGCCGCCTCCTCATTGCTTTGTCATATATACATAAATACTGAGAAAGTTGTGGTAAGATTTGTACTTTTACCAATATTGTAAACATTTTTTAAACAGAAAAATATGGATCAGTAAAATAATTTGAATAATTTGAATTTGTTTATTCATATATTGTATATATACAATATTAATGTGATATTAGCTTAATACTTATCTATCCTATCTTTTTTATATTTTTTTATAAGTTACTTTTATTGCTCTGGATTTTAAAATGCATATGTGCACGTATGTGCACGTTCAACGTGAACTTTCAGCTTGATGTCAACAGCATCCTATGTGGGAAATGCCATCACGTTATGCTTACTGGGAACAACTAAAGTCTGATAGAAGAAGAAAACAGGTCTATTCATCATAACATGGGTAAAACTTTGGTTTATTTGGAGCAAACATCTGGATTACATGTACAATGTTTACAAGCTCGCAAATGCACCATTTGTTTCCAAACCAAACTCACCACTGACATTTACAGAAAGGTTCCATAAACGCCTCAATTAAAATGCTTGTAGAATTCCCTGTTACTTATTTAACGTGTCAGGGTTTACGGTTTAATCCAGTGATAACAGAACGATAGTCCTGCTGTAGTGCAATGACTGTCATCCCTCCTCTCTCCCCACCAGTACGTTCTCCTCTCCCTCCTCTGCTAATAACCCCTTCTTCTTTTTGGCAATTCTGACATTTACAAGCAATTTCAAAGCAATCCACAATTTTCTTTTCGCTTTTCCTCACCCTCCTGCAAAGTGTGAAATCCTGTTTGTTAATTGATTGATTTCAATTCAAATTTCCGACCGGAATGATTACACAGTAACTTTGTCAGGCTGTGTGTGTGTGTGTGTGTGTGTGTCTGTGTGTGTAGATGAGAGATAAGGAGAGTAGAAGAATGAGAAGAGCAGAGGAGGGAGGAAACCAAGCAGGCACACCGCTGCCCGATATGTGTTGATATTCACCTCATTAAATGAGCGAGAGTGTGTGTGTGTGCGTGTAATGAGTCTTAATAAATAATAACTGTATAAAGCGATCAAACCTGCAGCGGTGATACGGCCGCACTCAAAGTGCTGAACCCGGCCGTTCTGTCACGCAGAGCAGAGCGACAATCCCACCGAACCATAAAACTGAAATCCCAAAACTGACGTGATCGGAGATGACAACGTGATGCACATAACTGTGCGCAGAGACACGCGCTGTGCTCTCTGTGCCCACATGTAGCAAGCGATAAATATGCAGAGGATACGTCTATCCACATACCTATAGATGATGCAGGCGCAGTCCCTGCAGGTCCCGCAGTTCTCAATGTCCTGTCCGGTCCTGTATGAATGTCTTCTGTTGAAAACCATAAAGATGACATATCAGGGGTAAAAAGAAGGGATGTTTTGCATGCATTGGTTTGTGTGAGCCAATCTTTTCCCTTGCTGAACCAAATTTCTGGCACACACACACACATCTTTGCAAATACACCAATCTAATCCTCTCAGAAATCAGCCCTGATCATTTTTTAATGAACGATACCCCTTCCATCCGGCTCAAGCTGTTACGTAAACCATGAGTCACTGTATCACTCCAGGCACAGAACAATGCTTATGAGGTAAAAGTCAAGCCTGCATGCATCACCCTTTGCCCCATCGCTGACTTCTTAAACAGTTATTTCTCTTTATGACACACATGCAATAACATGTTCAAATGTATGCAGAGTATATCCTTAGCATTAGTGCGAGGAGTGTGTTTTGGATTACACTGCTCCAAAATAAGTCAAGCTTTTCCTTTGGATCCGTAGACACACATCCATCCACGTCTATCTCGTCCTATCCAAGAGTTCTCTCGTCCCCGCATCGTGTGCTATTTTGGTGCGATAAGGCGGGAGAAATTACTAAGCAGCTTACAATGTCAGAAGCAGATTAATTAAAGACTTGATGAGAACAGTAAAGGGTTTACACGGTAACAGGCGTGACGCATCTGAAACCACCAACATGAGGACAGCCAAGTGCTGATTCCCATCTATCCCTCACTGCTGCATGCACGCACAAGGAAAGAGCTGCTGCGGAATAATACAAAACGAGAGACCAAACTGACCCTTGCGGTCCGTCACGCCATTAATTCTTCAGCAGATCAAGAGTTGACATTGAAAACGAGGGTTGCATGACAAGATACAAAGATATATACAGAGGTTTCCTGACTTTTCTCTGTCTGTTGCTCACCTTGCTGTTTCTGCCACATCCCATTCGCACCAAATTTACATTGTGTTCAGTCCGCAAGTATTTAATGCAAACAATGCTGGGATTCAATATAAATAGATGAGTTGCCTCCCACTGATTCTGTGGGAAAAAGCGTGGGAACGAAGGTCATCGCCGCAGGGATATGGATATTCCCTTTTTAAAGAAGACTCTGCCTACAACAACACACTTGTCTACTCCAATCCAGGAGAGATAATGCATCTTTTAGTGCAAAGCTATGATCACATTAAATGTCGGCTCCTCTTTTGTTTTATTTGTGTTGAGAGAACTGAATTCTCAATTGAGAAATTAACTCTCTGGAAATAAAACAGCAGGCACTTAGGCAACATGCTGATATTTACCTTCCAGGTCTCAAAAATACCAGGCACTCAAAATGAACTTAGTCCCACTGTTTGTTATTCTCTCCTTTCCTTTTTTAAAGTTACTTATCCATTCATTCATCAAAAGGTCAATGACACTTAGCAGCTAAAGAGTCAGATATTTACCTCAAGAGTTGGTTGAGACCAAAAACAGAGCTAAAAGAGAGGGAAGATTAGACATAAATAATCGTAAACATGACTCCTATTGAATTATTATGCTGTTTCCTAAAGCCTAAATAACCAACTGTTTGCTAATACGTTTGCAATATCCCCTTATGTGTTATTGATGTTGTTGTATCTGCTGCCCCCAAATAGAATAAAAGAACAAACAGTTATTGCTGGTTTGATGATTCTATTAAATTATCTATGAATTCCCCTTTTAGGAAGATTAGGCCTTTACAAGGTTGGTAGTAATCTGTAAATAACATGGCAATAGAACAGGGTTTGTCTATTTAATAAGGGTTAATAATAGACTGAATGTGAGAGTTGGCCCCAGACTACCATATGGCTTTTCACACTACATTTGACTTGGCCCTGAGCTGAGAGTCCTGTTAGCCCCGGGTTTACAGCTCCATTAGCCTACGGCTTCCAGTCATTTCACATTCATGACATTGAGTGTGGGACTCTTCTCTTTTGGCCCTGGGCTTTCACACAACATCGAAACCCAGACAACCCCATTTTAAACCCTCGGGCTATGCAGCATTTTGCAGTGCAGTTAACACTGCCTTTGAAAAGCATCTTGGACACGACGATGCAAAAAACAATACTTTGATCCAGGGTCATTTACTCTGTGATGTGAAATTCTGAAGATTTTAACCGTTGATATGTGGAATGTATTATGAAAGTTGACCCAGGAAAAGTCAACACACTTGCGAGTGTGAAGCCTCAGACCAAACTGCGCTTTGAACAGTTGCATTTAGAACAGTTCTCAGATCGATTCAGCAAAGATTGCTCTTGTTTGATTGTCCAATTACATTGTTTAAACATGGTCACTGAGGGCCTAGATTTTATTCACGGAGCCCTGGAAGACATTTCACTCTACAGTTATTCGTACAAAACATCCCTTCAACAAAACAACACAAGAGACTGCGTTGGTGCGGCTGTTTTTTTCAGATACTGGTGAGATAATGAAATACAATCCAAAAAGGGCTGTTTGAGTTGTAGATCCCAAATATTGAAAGACTTATCCGAGGGCAAAAAGTCACAGAGGCAACTATTTATCTTTAATCAAGGTAAAATTAGAATTAAAATTAGAATTAACGTCACAAAATAATCTACTATTAATATGTCTTTAATCAAGGTAAAATTAGAATTCACGTCACAAAATAATCTACTATTAATATGTACTCTTATATGAACTCTTGGCACTCCAGTGTGTCGATGGGTTATGTGCTCTGTCTGCATGTGGTCATTGGAGGGCTGAGTAAATGCAAAAGGGAAATGCCTTTAGTGATGCTAAAGGGTGTTTATGATCTTATAGTGATAAGAGGGTTAGTTATAGAGGGTTATAATGTTATCGGGTTTTATGACTTGACAAAAGGTCTGATTGAGCTCAAAAAACGGTTGAATAAAGAAGATCTGTAGTTTGGCATCAGTATGCAAGCATTTCCTTTTTAGTTCATTCAAAGTAAACCCAAATGAAATATTGCCTCACCCGTCTCTTTCTGCCTCCTTCTTCTCAAGGTCTTGAATGACATCCAGGAGGACCTTGATGGTGTTCTGGCTGGTCTCCAGGACCCCCTCCAGGCTCTGGAGCTGAGTCTGCAAGTTACGGATATCGTGCAGGGGTCCGTTGGGACCCAGGAGCTTTTCTGTCACCTTGGCTGGATCCAGTTTACACCTGGCGCCTGACACCAACCCTCCCAGAATTTCCTGGACCTGTCTCAGTGTGTCCGCCTGGGTGGCAGTCAGGGGCCCAGCGGCAGGCCGCTCCCCGGAGGCGGAGCAGCCCCTGGCTCCCGAGCCACTCGGCTGGTTTGGAGGGTGTTGGCTGTTGGGGGTGCCGGGCCTGGCGTTGGGTCCTGAGCAGAGCATTTTGTGTAGAGCCCCAAGCTGAGCCTGGGCTGAGCTGAGACAGCTGGACTTAAAACAGGCCTTGGCAGGGGAGGAGGAGGAGGAGGAGGAGGACTGCTTCTCTCCCTTCATCGCAGCAACTGGCGGAGTTTGAGCTCTGTGCTTCAGAGAGCTGGCTCTCTCACAGAGCTTGGGAGAGTCTGTACATTTTACGTCCTCCTTTTTCCCCTTGTCCCCGTCTTTGTCCCTCTTGCCGGCCTTGCCGTCTGCCCTGAGCATGGGCGTTCGGATCGCACGACCCGGCGGATCGCCTTCTTTTTTGCGCGGCGTGTAAGGTGGGGGCAGCGGGGGTGGAGGTGGAAGTCGAATCCCCCTCTTATCCTGAGCGTTATGGGGCGCCTGAGAGGGGGGCGTGTAAGGCGGGGCAGCGCGAAATGTGGAAGAATAGAGGGGAACGGCTTTAGTTGGTGTCGCGCACGTTTGTGCGTTGGGAAGAGTGGACGCGTATGTTTTCACGAGTGGTGGCGGAGAAGTGCAAGATTTTAATTTGGGGACTGGGGAGGAGTAGGGGGCTGCGCCTGTGTTGGCAGAGGAGGTATTTTGCAGAGCTTGACATGGAATGTTGCAATGAGACACAGTTTGTATGAGCGTGGCGTAAGAAGGTGGAGTGGAGTTCGAGTGAGGGGCGCGGGGATTAACCGAATGTGTGGTAGAGTAATATGATATGGAGGTGCATGACAGGGCAGTTTGAGTTACAAATGCACATGGTTTGGCGTTGGATGCACCGTGTGGCTGCTCGTGTGTGACGCTCGGGGCAGTGGTTGGATGTCTGATGGGGTCGACAGGATTTATAATGGGGGTTACGGTTGGGGTAGGGGTGGAGCAGGTTAGGGGAGCCGATGACACTACGCTTGAGATAGGGGAGGAGCAGTTTGGACTGGGGCACGATGGTGCAGTTGGGGGAGGACTGGAGCAGACTGTGCTGGGGGTGGTCGGCGGTGAAACAACAGTATAATATGGGATCGGGTGTTGGACAACGGGAGTCGCAGCAGTGGGCGGTGGTACGGGTGGAGGTGGGGAGACGCAAGCTGGCTTGGCGGGAGAGGGGCAAAGTGGTGTAGCGCAGGGTTCAGGGGTCTGTGTCGGTGCACTTGCAGGTGGGGGAGAGGTACAGTAAGGCACAGTAGTTATGTGGGTGGCGGGAGGATCTCTACTCGCAGACGGGGACACGGGACTCTCAGATTGTATTTGCACGGAGCTCAGTGACGTAGTCGGAGGCGGGGAAGCACACGGGCTACACGTTCGCGTCTGGGTGGTGCAGGGATCATGATTTGGAGGAGCTTCACATGGCGAGTCTGTTTGCATGTGAGTGGTGCACTTTTCAGCATTTGGAGATAGCGTCGGACATGAGTCGGTGATTGGGATTTGAGTCGCGCATTGTTTTTCACTCAAAGGTGGAGATTTATGTTGACTATCGGTTTGACTTTGGGCGGTGCAGTACTTTGAGTTTTCAGACGGGGAGGAGCTCTCCGTTTGAATTTGAGTGGTGCAGAGTTTGGCGTCTGCGGGTGGCGGGGACGGACTGTGCCTTTCAGTTTGAGTGGGGGTGGTGCAGTAGAGCACTTCCTTTCCAGGATCACTTGCTGTCCTGCTCAGTCGCTTTCTCCTCCTGACCGCCGACGGGGTGCTGCTCGCCTGGCGCTTGGGGCCATCCCGGCAGGATGGAACGGACGAACAGGGAAAGGGCTCAGTGTTGTGAAGCACTGAGGGGGGGCAACTGTGCCGAGAGTTTTTCACCACGCTAACAGCTGATTTAACGTCAGTCCTGAAGGTTTTAGACCTGCGTTCCACCACAGCTCGATCCCCGGGCGCCGGAGGACCGTTGGGGTCCTTGGATCCGGGCACCGGCAGATGGTTGTGCGAAAGGTACTCATCCGGAGAGTCATGTTCGTCATCCCCATCCATGCCCACCGAGTCCCCGAGGCTGTGGCTGCGTGTGTGGGTGGAAGGGAGGGGCTGGGGCTTTTTCAGGCATGGGGAGGTTTGGATGGCTGTGCTGGTGCTCGTACTGGGCCTGCGCGTCATTGGCAAGGTCAAGGAGTTGGCCTGTGGCGGCGCCCAGCACCGGCGCGTGGGACCCGGAGTCAATGGATGGGGAGGGGCCCTGGCTAAGAAAGCAGCAACGACCTCGATGGTACTCGCCATGTCCCCGCGCACAGCCCCCACCACGGAGGTCAAGCCAGGTAGGCTCTGAGTCCGCGGGCCATCCCTGTCGGCCCACGGCTTGGGGGACCTGCTGCCGTGTTTGCGGAGAGGATGCGGGCTGTCGCAATCCGCGGCCGGCCTCTGATGGCTGTTGTTTTCCCCCGTCCCGCTGTTGCCACTGCTGCTGCTGCCGTCCTCCAGGTCCTTGAAGCGGACCTGGTGGGTGCGGTTGCGGCGGCGCTTGAGGCGGCTCTCGATATCTGGGGAGTCCCGATTGAGCAGCACGGAGCGCACGGTCATCGTCCCGGGCAACTTGTCCGCCAAGGTGCTCTTGCCGTTGGTTTGGCCTGCGAGCAGGTGGTTGGGCTCTTTACTCACCATTTCTCCGGCCTCTCTCGCTCCCCCAACATCCACAGGCTCTGCGGGCAGTTTGATGTGAAGGCCTAGTTGTGTCAGTACTTCAACAAGGAAGGAGATCTCCCCATTGCTTCATATCATTAGAACAGTGAGTGATTTGTATAATAGAAGTTCTAGTTGCATCACAGAACAGAACATATGAGATTCTTCTTTTTTTTAGGTTTGTGTGCAGCTGCAAATCTCAAATCTATTCTCCGAGGACTTGCTTTGCAACAAACAACAGTTTTTAAAAATTAAGTAAAGATCACTGTGATGAATTTGGGTTAGCGTTTGTCCCTTTTATAAAAAAATAAATATCTGCAGCATCAAATACTCATTAAAATAAAAATATGAGAAATGTCCACACTCTCATTTTTCTTCTAAATGTGTGCGCTTCTGCTCTTTATTTCTCTTTCCAGTGAGACGAACTTGATGAGGTTGGGGAGGTTACCGGAAAACAAGCAGGGAGGGAGAGAAGGCCGCCTGTGCATCCTTTCTGTCTGCATCATGTTGGCCGGTCTTCTTGGCAGACACTCCTTCTCTACTTCCTTTGTCCTCTGGGCCCTCAGGAGGTTGGATGACCAAAGTATGGGATGGGCCTGCGTACTTCCACATAATGGCCTCTCTATTTCAAAAATAATAATTTTGCTCTCCTTTCTTCCCTTTTGATTTTAGGACTCTTTTCCTTTTGCAGCTCTTCTCTCGGTGACTCATTCTCTCGTGGCCGAAGATGGCGTTGAATTCCTGAAAAGAGCGGGGAGACAAAGAGAGAAATACAAGAAGTAAGAGATTGTAATTGCTTCCATATTATTGCATTTCCATTGAAACGCGATGGGCTTTGGGATAATGAAGGAGATATTAGATAGGCAGCTATTTTAAAAATGCATGAGACGTGGGTCAACACGGAATGGAAAAAGACGACGTTCAATTCAGTAAAAGTAATGAAAGGATGTAGGTGGCATAAAAAACACAGGATATATGATCAGCACCAGCAGCCCATCCGCAGAGAACAAGGGAGAAGAGATTGTAATTAAGGCCTATTCACACTGGCGGAAGGGATACCTGTACTGTAGATATTCCTCCCTCTGCAAATCTCTTTCGCGATATCAAACGTCTGTCTATTATTCCGGCTCTCGGGGCACACGGCCTGACTGTTGCATATGCGTGTGTGTCGTACAGATTTCTCTTTTCCTCCATGTTAAACAGTCTGTGGCCCTGTTGCACGTCCTTGATGATCGGCCATGGTGACATCCTCTCTGATTCATCTGGTCACTGCGTGACAGCCTCTCTGCCCCGCTGTATTCGGTCGTATGTTCTTGTCGCGCCGATTCTACGGCCCGTTTTTGAAGATCTACGTCCTTGACATGAGTGTGCATATAAATATATATTTATATTTATATATACATCACTTCCACTTCCTGTCTGCCACTAGCAGTCGGGCGTGATGCTGTCGTTTGCTTTACACAATCCATGGATCTGCGCCTTGTTATCTCCCCGTGATCGCCTCCGACACTGACAGGCCCGGGCTTATTCTGCATGCCAGTGTGGCCGTTGCTTTGTTCCCCTCTCTTCTGTGGGAGGGGTAATTAGTGACTCCTTCACAGCTCCCAGGTTATTTAGGGAGAGAGATACCCGAGGGGCTGCCACTTTTATTTACGTCCACCGTTTTTCTACTCTTTCCCTTCTTTCTTTCTCCGGCTCTAAAGAGCAGGATCTTTGTCACAGCCGCGCCCCCTCGCCAACGCCGTTAAAAACATGATTATTAGGATTAATTATCATTAAAGTCACTGCTGACAGAGCCTTGGGGTGGAGGGGGGGGGGGTATTAACAATAAAACAGCAGACATATTAATGGGTATAGAGACAAACCTCAGGATTTCTTTCCATTCCATTTTCTATCACAGCAGTGTAGACAGATGAGCAGCGCTTGTTTCACACAGAAGACGTGGAGACTAAGCCGAGGGGGACTGAATCCTGGGAAAAACAAAAGCTTGTACTGTATCCTTGCATGTAATCGATCTTCACTGTCTGTTTGACCTTGAGATTCTTTTCCTGGGTGAAATCACATTTGCACTTTGAAAGAGTCCCATTTCATTCCGGCCATCGGTCTTGCTACCGATTTCTCGTAAAAAGCACTCTGCTTTAAACATTCGCCCTGACAGATTTTCCTTTGAGTTTCCTCCATCAGTCGCGGAACCATTACCTTATTCTATGGGCTGTCATCCTGATCCCACCATCGCTCCTTCTTTCTTTTCCCTCTACATCCCCTCCTCGCCGCTGCTCCCGCCTCTCGGGCTGCAAACTACCTTCGGATCAAAATTTACGCCGACACTTTAATGAATCCAGCCCCTCTTAATGCTGCACAAGCTCACTCCCGTGGCTCAGGCCGGCTCTTTACCACATGTGACATTTTCATGTTGAGCTATATTGGCTGGACGAGAGATAAATCACCAGGCAGGCGGAGGAAGGTGTGCGACGGCATAATGCCAGCGAGGGTCATAACTCTTTTGGGTTATTATTTAGGATTTACCACGCTCGTCGCGCTGCCTGCCTCTTGGAGAAGGTTTTCCTGTGGCTATGTAGGCTTCCATGTGTGTGTCTGTGATGATAATGCTGAGGTCAAATCTGACCTCCCCATGCAAAGCCGCGCTGAAAAACAAATCTAACTGCTTGCGCAGACGGAATGATAATTGAATTCTTTCAGGGACGTTGAGAATGCCAAAAACACACCTGTGGGTCTTACTGTGCTGGTAAAAGGTGCTGCGGATTGAATTGTTACGTAAAGGCGTGTCGGATCGGACGCTCAAATTTGTCATACAGGACTGAGGAAAGAGGAGGCACAGAGAGGAAGAGGAAGGAGAGGAGGTAGACGCGCCTGGTTATATTTAGAGATGCTATGAGACATATAGCAAACTGAGAGGAGCAGGAATCTGAATAAGGAGGGAGAAGAGGTGGAGGGACGCAGACAGGCGGAGGTAGGGGGAAGCAGGAGGGAACAACCCCTGGCAGCGGAGGAAATGTCATGGTTAGGGTTCAGTGAAGTGGTAAATCAGGAGCATCAGCGTGTCAGGGCATTTAAGGGGGAACCGGAGAGGAACTAAGAAAAGCTATATGATCAGTTATTGGCCCTGAGAGCAAGAGGGTAAGAGTTATACTTGCACTTATTTACCACGCAGTCGTGCTCACAGGACACACGGTGCAGGAGCATGTGTGTTGTTTGCATCCCTGTCTAAAGAAATCCACACCCAGGAAGAAGGTTGCCTGTGCACAAACATTTGGTCTGGTAAGCATTGTGTGCTGCACAAAACCGGGCGATGTTTAGTTTATGCAGATGCGCCATAGAGGACACAACGATTTGTATGTAAACGGATCTAAATGCAACCAGAGCTGAAGTAGGAGACGACCACGGCATACGTTCAACAGAAATTGATCTAAAAATCAGCAAGTAAGCAAAGTAAAGCAACACGCAAGCGGTGTAATAATCTCCGGCCCGGGATCTGCACGAGAAAATAAATTCCTCCATCGCTAAAACGGCGCTACTGATGCAGCTGCCTCTGACTGATGCAATCTTAAGTTTGATCAAGCTGAACAGCAAATTAAATTACACAAACAAACACAAATTAAATTACGATTTTTAATTCATTATAAACCCGGGGCAACACAGTGAACACAATCATTGTTATTCCTGTCAGAGACTTGTGTGGAACTGTAGCAGCAGCATGTTCATGCTGGATTGTTTGTTGATGAGTGCGCTGCCATTCAGCTTTGCCCGTTACAGTCAATCCGTCACGAGCAGCCGTATTTCACCGGGCACGAGCTGCGGCGATAAACAACCCTCACCTACACACAGAGCCTGCGAGGCTCTGGGGTTTTGGTTTTCCTTTTGTAAAAGTAAAGTTATCACCACGTGCATACCAATCTCTCAAATACCAAGACGAAGCGTCTAGCTGGTCGACTCGGGGGAGGCGGGGGGGACTTGGAGGCTAAATCACCAGACATTTCCCTTCAGGAGTTTGTTTGGAGACCAAAACCGAGCTGCGACTCACCGGGTGCCCAAAAAAACACGAGTCTAAATGAGTGAGAATGATGCTCGGAAAACATAAAAATGTATGATGTGTGAGTGTGGTGTTGACAGCTTATTTTTCATTGCTCCAAGGGGATGGGAAATAATCCATTATTGCAGAGAACATAAAAACACTTGTTTTAGCTAAGAGGTATTCATTTACCTTTTCACCCCACCATTTATTTTGTGTCTGTTTGATTGGACGAAATATTCAGCGAGGTAGGCAGCAATACAGAGGAAGCACGGAATGAAATCCTAATGAAAGCTGCGTAAACGACTGAGGGAAGTTGGTGCACACAATGTAGTATAGTATGAAACATATCAGTATATAATTAACACACAATAACTTTTGTGATGCACAGCTTTACGTTTGGGATGTGAGTACATTAACACTCTGGGCTGATTGGTCACACTATCTCTGTTGCTGTTGGCAGGTTTGTGTCATTTCAATGCTGTAGTGATCAAGAAAGTAACACTACAGGATGCAATTATGTCAGGGATAAACTCCCCTCACACACAAACGCACATAAGAAGGAAACACAAATGTCATCTTGCAAAGCCACTGCGGAGCTCATCACTTAAAGTGACGTGCGGCCGCCCTTCTTGTTCCAGTCTCCGTAAATGCTCCCTGGATTACTTAAAACTTCTACAATACGCTGCAAGGAATGATTTGTTCCATCTGTCCTCTTTTAGCCACAATCCTTATATGAAATCTGTATCTAGGCCAAAGGATCGTGATAAGCAAACTGAGCCAACTGTGAACAAATGTGAGGAGTTTGTTTGGGTATCTGTGAAAGAAAAGTAAACATTGTTTTCTTTCCGTGGCCAGTTAGTTGCTGTTTTTTATGCTCTCTTACAAGGGACTCAGAGATGAAATAATCCCAAAGTCCAGCCAAACAAAACAAGTGACGTTATCGACACGTCCAGAGCCCTAAAAGCACGCTCCATGTAGCGCAGCCCGCTCCCTCCGCCCCCCCGGGGGACAACTCTCTGCTGGACAAAGTCGCTGTCCAAACTACTGTCCCCTGAGTGCATCACACAGCGTCACCCACGAAGCCAAGCTGCTGTCGGCCCAAACGAAATACCTGTCCGGCGGACGGACAGACTCGCACAGCACGGCAGGGGACAAGGTAAAAGTTTAAGCATTCAATTCTGAAAAGATTCATGAGCAGTGTGAGAAAAGGATTAAACGGTTGGCAGGTGGAATCGGGGCGGAGATGGAGATTGCTGAACCCTTAAAACGCACCGATGAGGTAAGATAAAAGGGGAAGCGGAGTGTATAGTGGAGTGAGAGAGAGAGAGAGAGAGAACAGGAGTTTGTGTGACAACAGCACAGCGTCTCCTTCACACCGCAAATGTGTGCGTGTGTGCAATGTGCACCTGTGCGTGGCGAGCGCACGCATGTGCATTGGAGGCTGCACATGCGTGACAGTGCAATTGCATTAGTCTGATGCTTGTCAATGCAAGATTGCTACGAGATGAGTGGATTGAGACACATGAAGGGCAATTCAAAGCACATTGCATAATGTTGAAGCACATTGCGATTATTGAAACGCTGAAACAATGTCTCACATTATTTGAAAATGAAATGCACAAAGAGTGTGCATTGGAGCGTGCAAAGACACACGCACACACACACAGATCCATACAAATGGAATTCCCTCGCTCAGTGCCTCCTACTCAAACTTTCTGTGTATACCCCCCACTGCGCGCACTCACACACATGGACGCACACACAGTCGTGCTCATGACAAATATGCAATGAAAGCACGCTGCTGGGATCTGCGAAGCTACATCACCGACAGACCAATCTAAGCCCCTCACTCTTTAAAGCTTCTTGTAAAGCTGCACAATCTCGGGGAAATAACTCACCTGCAGTGGAGCAAATCCCAGTATCCACGCACACGCGCACTCTTCCCTTTCACTGAATGTAACACACGCGCACGCGATGCGAGGACATCAACACAACCCTGTTATAAGTACACACACACAAACACACCTGCCAAACACATACACAAAATGCATGCCCCGCACGTGTGTGCGCGCATGCCAAGACACGCGCACTGACTTTCTTTTCAATGTGCAATTCAGCAGAAAAACAAGTAAAAATGTCGCCCACGAAACAAAAAGAGACCCCCCCCCCCTCCCCGTTATCTCTGCGGTGATGCTGAGGGCTGATGGGGAGATTGCTGTGCAGGACACAGAACTGAGTCACACATACCACATCTCTCTCTCTCGCGCGCGCGCGCGATTCCCTTCTGTGTTGTCTCTCCTCTTCCCCCCCACACACAAACGCTCGCTCCTCTCCCCCCGCTATTCCTTCACGTGTCTCCCGTCCCTCTGGCGCTCATGTTTGCTCCCGTTCCCTCTCCTCCGTCTGCCCTCTCTCCGCTCCTCCTCACCTCTGTCTCTTGTCCTCCGCCGCGCCGTGCGCCTTCTTCTATCTCACTCTGCTCTCGCTCTGTGGACGCGTGCCTTTCACGTGGGAGCCTGTTTATCCCGTGCGCTCCGCTGTGCCTGCGCGCCTCGCCGACTGAGCGTGCGTGCGCGCCGCGCCGTGAGTGGAAGTGAGCGGACAGGAGGGGGAGCAAGAAGGCAAGAGTGAGCAAACAGGCAGTTTGCGCTCTCGGATGCTCCTCTCGTCAGTTCCCCCTGCCTCGCTCCCTCTTCCTCTCTCCCCCTTCTTCCCTGCGTCTCTCCATCGTGACCTCCTCCTCCGTGTCGCCATGCAAGCCCGCCCGCATCCGTGTGTGTGTGTGTGTGCAAGGGGGGAGGGTGGGGGAGGGCGAGGGGGGGGGGGGGGGTGGAGAGAAGGAGGCAGTCGGAGGTGGAGCCAGCGAGTCGGTCTAATTAAAAAGCAGAGTATGTACAGCTGCAGAGAGCAAAGAGGGGAGACGGCGGTGGGAGGAGAGGGGAGCAAAAGTTATCCACAGGGGCGGAATCAAGGGACATGGAGGCGAGATGCAGTCAGCGGGGGGGTTGGAAATGAGGGAGGTGGTGGTAGTGGAAGGTGGAGTAGAAGGAAAGAGCTCACGGGACACCAAGGTCAGCCGGGGAGGAATGCAGAAAGGTCATGCACACAGAGAGGGAGGAAGAAGGGGGAGGAGGGGGGGATAGGAACAGACAGGTGGAATTATTCTACACATATCTCTCCCATATGAGCGGTGGAGAGGGGGGTCAGAGGCGGGGAACCGTGACCAGAGAATAGAGACACATGGACAATGGCCCGGAGGCAGATCGACAGTCACCGAAGGTTAAAGCGCTCCAGAGTTGTCCGGCTGCTGTAAATTAACATGCGGAAGAGTTGTGCATGCAAATTAAAGGGGAAAACACCAAATACCAAATAACTCGCGTGGATGACTACCGCAAATGGATTCATTTTCTCATTGTTAAAGATCATCTCTGTTAGAACTGTTGGTTAGTAGAAACCACTTCGCACAGCGGAGAGAGAGAGAGAGTCTACACCTACTCGCCTCAAGGGCTGAGACATCTCAACCCATTTTATCGGCTCTGATCACTTATCTTGTCCCATCTCGTCTCTCGCCATCAGACTTACATTAACATCCCTGTGAATCTTCTTTTTCCATCTCTCAGATGTTCTGGGAACCCTCATTTGAACGGATTTCAAATATAATTTCATGGAAACAGCCCAATTACTCCCCCGCATTTTACAGCAGTAGAAGTAGAGTGGAATTGATGCATGAGGGGATATTCCTATGAAGAAAGAGTCATCCCTTCTACCATTGAAATACGTCCTATAGTACATGCACAACTTATGTGCAAATAAATAAACCATAAACAATTAAATGTTTTGTGATTTACAAGATAAGTGTTGCAATTACAAGGAAAGCTTGACTAGTTATACCAAGAAAATATGTCATAATATTAATTGAAGAATCAATGAAATTGTTTTTTTCATGGTTGCGTCAAAATGTTAAAACAAATACAAAAAAAAACTTGACTGACAGCAGATCCGTCTGTTCCAAAAAGGGGGACAAATGAACTAAAACCTTCTGTGCAAACCAGATAACTCAGGAACAGGTCCGAGGATCTGCTCCTGCAGCTGAGCGGGAGCGCAGTGACGCACGGGTCAGAGGCGTGTGCACGGACGCGTGTGCACGGGCGCCCTGCTGTGAGCTGTCCGTTTCGCTCGGCTCCAGCGACTTTCACGCCCGTGACGAGTTGAGAGGAGAGTGATGACAAAATCCTTGCATGTGTGTGGCTGCTGGAGGCCTGACAGCGTGGCCGAGCAGCAGATGGAGGACAGCGGAAGGAGGACGGACTCTATTTGTCTCCTAAAGAGGCTGAGCGGTCCATCGGCTACAAAGAGGACCTTGAGTTTACGGACAACAAAGCGTTTGTAGATGGTGTTTAGTTAATCACCCATTATATTTGGTCGACGTGTGAAGCTCTCCACAACTCAACCGTCCTGCTGGTGAACGTAGCGGACGTGTTTCAGGGTTGAGGCGTCTTTGAAGGGCTGAAAGAGCAGATGCTTCTAATTTTGGAAGAATTATCTGATTTTTTTCCCTGCTTTTTAAGCTAAAATCAAAACTCGTATTGACTCTCTGACCTAAAAGGCTAAACTGAGATGGTGACCATGATCGTGTTTATTAAAATGACTTAACTAACTAAATTCTAGGTTACTGTGGTAACATGTAGCCGATAGCATCATCTTGTTTTGCTCGACGCACCGCTTCTCTTTGACATCGATGAAAACCACGGAAATATGTAAAGGAGAATTCATAGAGGATAAGAAATAGGAAATGAGAAGGTAAGTGTGTTACACACCATAAGGGTTAGAGGACACAACATTACATAATGAGAGCCGAAGAACAAATATAACACAGCTCCACGCATGTCAAACATCTTCCACATTAAAAGTTGGGGACAACTGGGGCACAGACTGTGCCTTTTGCACGTCAAACATGAAGCGCCCTCCTACGCCGTTTGTGGACTTTCAACACAAACTGTTCCAGGTGAAACACTTTGTCTGTAAACAGGAAGTCATCAGACATAAGGAGGAAACGGGCCGTTCTGCAGCCCGTATCTCTGAAGTGATGTATAACGGACTATGAAGCCAAAAGTGGATTTCATTTTCAACCTTTCCCAGGTGCCACAGAATAACACATTCTAACTGGGCACAGACAGACTTGTCACGTTAAGGGTGAGATTGTGCTCTGGGTGGTAAATGGACTTGGAAACCTGCCTTGGAAATGAAATATTGTTTCACGCTGCCATGCCCGAAAATAATGATTCAAAAGATCCTAATAGAAAAACGCTCTCGGGCCTGGTAAAAAAAAAACACAGTCCACCACAATCGCAATATGTCTCTCTTATGCCGCGCCGCACGTGGCTCCCGTCCCACTCGATACTGCCAGGTTTGGTTATTTTGCACATTTTATACAGACCCAGAACACGTGGAATCGCTCAAATAGGACGCGTGCGAGATCCAAACACACAAAGCTGGCAAGATAACGCTACTACACTTTAGCCGCGCTACGTCATTTACGTGTAACAAACCGTATCATGTGCGCGGCGTTAAACGTCGTCACTGCAAGGAATGGCGGTGCGGTATTATCGCCTTTTTCCCTTTTTCCTAAAAAACACTGAAGCGCGTCCCGTTGGCATTGAGCGAATTTGACCAGCTAGCATCACGGCTGCCACTTAGATACTTCCAGTACGACAGCAGCTCGTGTCCTTGATCAAGATGCCATTATGAAGTGTGTCTAGCAAACATCACGTTGCTGCAGAGAGAAGTCTCGCTCTCTCTCTCTCTCTTTATCTTGATTTCTGTTGTCCACATGAGTCGGTTACCATCCACTCGGCCTGAGCCCAGAAACTGTAATTATTATTCATCAAGCTAATAAGCTCCCTGAGTGTAGCCATTTAGAATGAGAAAAAAATCCCACAGAGCCACCAAAAAAAAACCCCACCACTAGTTTCACTGGCACCCATTAATCAGCCCCCGAGTCCGACCTGCTACTAAAAAAAGTGAATTTTAAGCAGATCCTTTTATGTACGCGCAGATCAAGTCATCAATCACAGGGTCGTAGGACAGCGGACGTGTCTAATGGCGAGATCTGGCTGCGGCCATTACCTGAAAGGCTTTTGTTATTTTGCTATCTCGGGTTTCAAGCATGATGGATGAACAGGGCGGTTGAGCCATTTGCCGGACCTGACTACGACCGGCGTCTCCCTCTCTCTTTGATCCGAGGCGGAATCCGGGACATTGTCAAAGATCTTAAGCGGCTTTGATGGATGAGGGAACTTTTTTTTCCGCTTTGTTTCTGGGCCGAATAATGACTTTCCGTGTCCGTCCTCTTGCCCAGAAACAAGGCTGGAGGTCAGGAGAGAAACGCTGCTTGGCAACATAATAAATGGTTGAGAAGATAGATTGTGAAAGCGGGGGATTTGGGCTTGCTGCTATGCATTGCATCATTATTGACCCCGAGGTCTTCTTGTCTACCTCAGATACGCCTTCCAAAAAAAAAAAGTTATCCGGCAGTCGTGTGGATCTGTATTACATGAAAGTTTTCATTCTGAAGCTGATGGATGGAATCGCCTTTTGGTTGCTCTTTCCACCAGGTGGTGATATTGTATTTCAAAACACCTTTTCAAAATGAAGGAAAATTCACCTCAAATTTCAGCCTGATCTCCAAAACCTGTTCGTAAAAATGCATACGAAAATCTTGAACATACAAATTCGTAGTGATACATACGAAATAAATACGGACTGCGACTGATGCCGTCACCCTGTTCAAAGTGAACGGGGACCTGCGCCCCGTAAACACACTTCGTGAAGTCTAACGATGTAAAATAAACGTGTTATGATTGCATTTTTAACAAGAAATCAATGTTAAATTGTAAGAATAGAATACTAACCCTAACCCCCTCAAAAAATCCAACATGGCGGAGAGACGTTCACTCAAGAATCCGACACGGTCCGCCATGTTGTTCACTCAAGGGGCGTGGTTAACCACCGCCAGTTCGTATGTATTGTTACGAATTTGTATGTTCAAGATTTTCGTATACATTTTTACGAACAGGTTTTGGAGATCACGTTGCAAATTTTGACATCACCTTTATTGTCTGAACATCATTAGCGAGAGGTTAACGCCTCGTCACGACCAGAGTACAGCGAACGCTTTCTCCCCGTCTGCTCTTGGCTACGATCCATCTCAGCGTCTGTGTGCCGCTGATGCTGCTGATGCCAAGCGTCTTAAAGGGAATGACACAGAAATAGACTTGGTGACGGGGCCCCGGGGCTCATTCCGTACAGGCACAAAAACGGAAAAATAAAAAACATGAAACAATTTCTCGATCTGATCCATTAAAAAACAGAGTAAATATAACCCTGACTTCTCAGATGTTCTCCAGGTGTGTGATGCTGATGATGCACCAACCAACCGTGAACATCCTGATGTGCTCCGGTCCGTTTCATTTCATGTTTTTCACACATCAAAGTGTTCTCTCCGGCCCAAATGCAGCTTGCCGAAGATTAAAAGAGAGCGCTTTTAAAACTATAAATATTCTCTAGATTTTGGCAAAAAGCCTTAATAATTTGACTTGGTAAATGCGGCATTATAGAACGATCGTCAATTAGGACATTTTGCACGTATTTCTTTCTTTTTGGTGTTCAGTATAAACTGAATACCTAAATTAAAATCTCCATGGGTCACAAAAACAGACATGCAGCGAGATCCAGATTATTCCCAGATTCCAGAATACAGATCCCAGCACACGGCAACAACACGGAAGTGGCGTGTAGTGAGTGGAAAAGGACCTGGGGGGCCTGAGGTGAGAAGGAGGACCAGATGGATGGGACGGGGTGGGGGGGGGGGAGGGAATGTGAACAGCCGTGTGTCTCTTGATCATGAACAGACATTCATGGTGCCCAGAGGATGATTTCCAACGTCTTCAGTGAAAAACCTGTTAGTTTGTTTGTTTGACTCCGCAAGTGAATCGTCAGAAAAGCTTCTACTCACTGATTGTTAACGGAGAGATTATTTACTTTAACACAGCTGTTTATGATGAAGTCCCGTCTGCTATTTATTGAAAGTGTATCAAATGTGTAAAAGTGGATTGAGACCAGAAATCCAAACTTACTTGTTATTGGCTGTTACTGAGGACACGGAGGCCATTACATTTTGACGCTTCATCGACTGAGTGGAAGTGGTTACCGGCTGCTGTTGGTTCCCCCTGCAGGAGACGTGACTTATTTAGCTTATGTGGTTCATCAGACAATCTTATGACCCAATAACGCTTTGGAAAAAATGAAACACATAAAATATTAACTGAACATTTGAAATTCCCAGTTCGTTAGAAAGTGTGAAAGTATTTTTTTTGACGACAACATCCGTCACACAGTGTTTACTTCCCGTTACGTGTTTTCCTCTACCTGCATTACAACACAACAGACCGACAAATCCAGCATTGGGGGCACTTGAGGTCATCACAACAAACACCAGATGGACATGTTTGACATGCAGCAACATACGCGTATTACAGCCACTGCACAGGGAAGCTCGTCTCACAATAGCCGATATGCAAAAACACGCCAGATTCTAAGTTATAAAACGTATGTTAGCAGTCTCGTCACAATTTATCCGTCTCATCGGTTTTCGTCCTGCCTGCCTGTTGTCGTTCGGGATCCTGTCATCCTCACCAGATCATCCCTCGTTGGCTTCACCTGGTTCTCACCTGCAGCCCATTCGTCCCTCACTATTTAGGTCCCCTCATTTTCACCTGGCAGATTGTCTCGTGTGTTATTGTTCCTGCGCTACCTGTTGCAACCCTGTTTGCCTGTCTACCCGACAAAGGGTCTCTGCGCGGCCCTCTTTTTGGATTTGGACGGTCGACCTCCTGGTTTTGACCCTGTCTTTAAACAGCTGCACTTGCATTTCTGTTTCCGAGTGGTGCTTTTGCGTTCAAGTACCTGTAATCCTTCCATGTCTGTTCACAAAAGTGCGTGATTTACAGAAATACGGGAAATGTAGATTGCATAACATCCTTTCCACTAGATTGCGTAACCCTCATCAAAGGGTGAGCTGAGATTATTGGTATGTGATAAGGTGCCATGGAGTCACCACTCCGCTCGTCCATGCCGGCGCCCTTGAGCAAGGCACTTTCCCCCCCAATGGCTCCAGCAGCTGTTCTAAAGGAGTGTGAATGTTAGTTATCTGGTGGCACCTTGCACGTTCCCCCCGGCCATCAGCGTGTGAGTGACAGGTACAATCCATTCACCACGTGCAGCTAGTTACAGAGGTGCTTGTGTAGTTCCATGTCAAATCGTACAAAATGTAATGAAGTGTAAATGAAAGTTTTGAATACAACATGGTTCATTTTCTAGGGCGCACACCTGTTGGCACGCTGTGCGTGACCCGGCTGAGCTCTTGTTGTGTTTGCCTCATGCACCCTGGCCGGGCCCGTGGGAAAGGGATGGGGAGGGAGCAGAGGATTGGGGGTTGGGGGGGGGGGGGATTAGTGCAGAGTCGATGCCCGGTGTCTCTTTTAGACAACAACAAACTCGAGAGAGCGGCTGATAGAAAAGCGCAGCAGGCAGAAACCCGCGCGCACCCTCCATCCAGACCCCGGCGCGCAAGCATGTCTCTGCCCGGCCCGCAGGCACCAGAGGACGGACTCCACGGTGAGTGACGGCGGCACACGAGCCGGTGCCGGCGTGGTCGTGTGCCGTCACATCATGACGTTTGCGTGTTTGCCTTGTTCTGCTAACCGAGCCCCCCCGTTGTGTGTTTGCGTTATCGACCAAACTCGGTAAATGACCAAACCGATTCACTGTGTCACCGGTTGCGACGTCGCCGGTGGGGGACTCGCCGCCACTGAGGGGAAGTGTTGTTTGCATCGTTGTGTAAACGGATTCCACGACTCACCTGTTTGTTTCTCTGTAAGCCAATTAAGATGCGCGGATTTCCTGAGGCTTATAGGTGCGCTGTGCCGCGAGCTCATTGCTGGCAGAGAGGATGCTGGGTAACGGTGTCATAAGGGAGCAGGACGCACAGGGAATGTAGTGATGGGCCTTAAACCTGATTCTTTAAAAGCAGGGCAGGGATATTATGAGACATTCATGCAGCCAAATCCAGGAGTTTTTTTTATTTTATTTTTTGTTATATTTGGAATGTAAAAAAATCAATTCGGAGACTAATCCTTTGGGAGTTTTTCTTTTGTTTGTCAGAATTGTGTCAACAGATTCAGTAAGACGGATATTTAAACGTTGTGATTTCTGTGTTTCAGGCCCTAAAAAAACCTCACTTTAATTTCTCTCAATTTCTTCTTACTAATCAGCTGACAAATGCTAACTGTGTAACATTTACACAAAACTTTCCGATACTGTTATGCAATTATTAAACGTTAATGTGATTCTCTAGTCCGGAGCAAATAAGTCACTCGAGAAGAAAAGGGCTCCTTTTGCTTTCAAATTTTCAGCATTCAAAATTCATTAAAGTTGATTAAATGGAGACTTGTATAGTTTATAGTTGAATGAGCCCCAAAACCTTTTGTATAATTTTTTTTTTTCACCTCCCTGTCCCTTCGATTTCTGCACTGTCCCCAAACTGCAAGCAGACATTCAACAGCGAATCGAAAACCAGCCGGTTGTGCTGCAATACTGATTTAGTGCTGCCGAATGATGACCGATAAGTCCGACAACGACACCGTTTATGTCACATCTCCCCTCTGTAAACAACATAAATAGAACAAATAACTAGGGCAACAGTTTCCCTGCGTGCTCTCTGCCCACTCATGTCTCCATCCCCCTGCTGCTTTTTGTGTGAGTAGAGCATCAAAGACCTGCGTAAAGAGCGGCCTTGAGCGATCAGACGAGGGGGGGGGGGGTGAGGTGTTGATATTTTCTAAATGCTGCCGATGCCACAAAGGGACAAGGGAGAACAAGGAGGAGGAGAGCAGAGGGCCAATGGCTAATCTCCAACCGAAATAAGGTCTTACGTAAGCAAGCATGCTGTCAGCCTGAGTTAGCCTTGCCCTACTGTTTGACTGTGTGTGTGTGTGTGTGTGTGTGTGTGTGTGTGTGTGTGTGTGTGTGTGTGTGTGAGAATCTCTTCCTGCTCGTGAACCAGAGTGACCATTCATTCATTCATTCATTCATTCATTTGTTTCTAGGCTGTGTGTGTGTTCTCCAAAGTCATTTATTCCGGGACGGAGATTCTGGCTTCACTCTTTGTGTCAAAGTGTTTGTGCGCATGTGCGTTCTGCACAACACTGTCCATCTGGTCGCCGTCTCATTTGTCTTCTAATGTCAGGACATGCTGCACGCGTCAACACACACTTATCAGTGCACACCAAAGTGTAGCAACATTACAGGACGAAACAAATGGGACATTTGAACCATCGTGCATCCTAAAGCCTTATAATGGGATTAGTGGGTTATTCGGGGCAACTAAAGATACAAAGGGCAGTAATTCAGAGGGCCATGTCAAATTGTAGCCAGTTTCATTCATTAATAGAATGTTTCATGTTCTTACAAACAGGGAGAGTTTGACATTAGAGACAACAAAAAACATTTTGCAAAAACAAATTACAATTCAGCTGATTTTTATTAAATTAATGTTCAGTTTCAGGTCACAGGACATGAAACACATTTTACTAACAAATTTATAATATCCAAAATATTTTGTCACACTCGTATCCCCAGCGACTCGTCTTCTCTCGTAAACGTCTTCCATACCTTCCTCCTGTTTACTCCGTCCTTCCTCATCCACTCCTGCCGTCTCCTCCTCAGGCTCCTGGGTGGAGCTGGAGGAGCTGATCACCGCCGTGAGCCGCAGGGAGAGCCCGGCGGGGTCGCAGGAGAGCATCTCCTCTGCCCTGCAGGGGGAGCTGGAGAGGATCCTCCTGGAGGCCCAGCTGGAGTGTGAAAGGAGCAAAGACAGGTAATGTGCAGTTTGTTTGTGTGGGTTATTTTGTTTTTGTTGTTTGGGGAGGAGGTGGAGGGGGGGGGTCAAAAACAGAATAATCTGTTTTGAGCAGAAAGCCTGAATGCAGTCAGTCCACATCTTGTCGCTATTGTCCACATTGTAAATGTGTGTTTGTGGTGCACAGTCCTACACGTGAGGGGACTCCGCAGTCCACCGGTTCCCCGAGACCCACCAGTGATCAGGACAGCGACTGCATCACCATACAGGTATTCATCTTAATCCAAAACGGATTGATCACAACAGACATTTCATTTTGTAATGAAATGACCTCCCTCTGGGGGGGTCATATTTTGAGCCAATTAACTTCAATTCAAAAAGTCTACTTGTAATGATGACCACTGACGACCTCAGCAAAAGCAGAGAGAACCTATTTTTTATTATTGATTTCCTCCGCTGCTGCTCTCATTTCCGTTTAATAAAGCTGATCAGCTTGCAGACATTAAACCTCTGTGTCAGCATCAGTGCCGAGGTTTGCTCGTCTGTTGCAGGAGGAGGCTGAGAGGCGAGTGGACACCGACTGGGTGTGGGATTGGTCCAGTCGACCTGAAAATATGCCACCAAAGTAAGAACTCCTCCTTAGTCATTATGTTCGCTTTTTTAATTTTTTTTTAACCACATTCATAATTCACTGAGTTTTTTGGAAGCATTTACAAAGACATAAAGGTGATAAACTATTTAAAAGCATTGGCGCTTTCCTGCCAAGAGTTTGACGTGGAGATAAATACGGCTCATGGCGGCGCACGAAGAACACTTATCAGCACGTTGCATCGAGATTGTTTAATCGCTACAGAACAACATTTTATTTTTTTAATGTTACGTGCTGCAACTTTCTCTGAGCTTAGTGAGTCTTTTCGTCTTTGGGTCGCTCACGTTTGACTTTGACAGCTTGTCTCAGTGTTGTGTCTCTTGCGCTGCCTCAATAAGTCCATTTGACAAGTGGCTCCTAATGGTTTCTCTACCTCGCATCCCCTGTTGCATTCTCAGCCCTCCATCTGCTGTGTTCTCATTATCTCATGTTTATTTTTTTTTTCTCCCTTTGCCTGCGTCGCGCTACTTCTTCTTCTGCAGAGAGTTTGTGTTCCAGCACCCGAAGCAGCAAAGCTCCCTGAGCGTGAGGAAGACGGAGGTGATGAAGAGGGGAATCTTCTCCTCCGATGTTTTCCTCATCCTTGTTCCCTCACTGCTGGCGTCACACTTGCTCACACTTGGAGTCGGGTGAGACGCACAAACCCCCAAAATGCCGTCTGAAGCTTGATAATGATGCTAAACTGCTGTTTGGGGACGAGGTTCAGCGATGTTTCTCGCTCTTTTTAGGATCTACATTGGGAAGCGTTTGGCTGCTTCAACAACAAGCACGCTGTGACGTCGGCTGCAGCCCGGTTCAGTCCTTCTATTACTAGTTGCTAGTGTGCCTCCTTCCTTCTCCATCGTGGGGCAACTTTAGGACCCAGCCCGTCTGTACCTCTGCCCCTCCGTCCACCCAGCAGCGCTCTGCCTGAAGAGGCCCCGATGAGGAGAACGGTGGCCTCCCACCGGCGAGGTCGGAGAGGAGCGATCGCCCCGGATACAAGAGAGAGGAGAGGACGAGTTTTAGCCGGCTAGAACAATAAATCCCTTTCCAGTGGAGGAGATGAAAACGGTGATTTGGGAAACGTGTGACAAAGATGAGATGTGACCCCCCCCCCCCCCATCCAATTGTCTGTCATGTGTCAGAGCGAATGAGGACGTGTACCAGCGAGCTGCACTGATGCAGCATCTGATGTAGAGACTGAGTGGACGTAGCAGTGGCTCTGTTTGTGCTTTTTGTCCCGTAAAACCAATTAAATATTTGACCACCGATGAAGACAATCGTGATCCCATTAAACTTCACTCCTGCAAACCTTTAATGTGCCTCTAGGATCTTTTGTTCTCTGTCTCATCCTGGAAGAGTTTGCCGGACACGCGTTTAATAAATGCAGGGAAAGTGAAGCACTTTTAAACAGATTTATTGAATTAAGACCAGTAATTCATACGGAATGTATTTTTTGCTCTTTGTCAGATTATTTTCAGGCAATCTTTTAAAACTGAGATTCAAACCCTTCGACTCTGTTGTTGACCTCATGAGCATCTTGTATTCCACATGAGGTAAATCACTCAAAGTCTCTTTTTTTTGTGCTGATGGGATGATGTGCGTTTGACTAGTGGTTTTAATAACTGACCGCCACCATGAATGACTCTTCCTCTCGTCTAGCATGACATCACACCATCTGCTTTTGTCATTCCTTACCTCACAAAAGTCTTTTTTTTTTCTTTTATAACACGCTGCTGCTTGGACCAGTCGAGGATCTGACGTTTTATTGGTTTCCCATAAACCACAAAGCCGTTTCCTCCTAACATGTCATGAAAATAGCTCGGATCCAGAACGAATGGCTTGAGAAGCAAACTGAGGCTTTGCTGTGCCGCCTTGAACGTAAAACGTTACCCATTTGTTGTCCGGCTCAACCAAAACCCAACGAGTTCATCAGCCATTAGCCGAGTGTTTGATGTGAGGAATCCCGCTGAGCTCCTTAAGCTGCTTCTAGATACTCGGGAGCTGACGACGCAGCAACAGGCCCGTGTTGGCAAAGCACAAAAGCACCTGGTTTCTATTCACAGACCCCCCCCCCAGATAACACACCCACGTGTGAACCATGCCTGGATACAAGTACGTGTTTTGGCATCGCTTTTAAACAGCAAGGAACAACAGCAGCGAGGTGCTTCGAAAGTGTCCATTCATCATTCTTCCGTTTATGTTGCAATTAAGGCTTTCAATAAAAATGGTTTGCGGTTAGGACAACTTAAACTATGACAAAATTGTGTTGATGTCATTTTATGATAACAAGACGCTGAACAACACAAAGTGATGAATTACAACCACCCACAATGTCTCTTCTTCACAAGGGGATTGAGCCGTCTGAGGTGCGTTAAATCAGGCAAAGGGGCGGCGACAAAAACAGATGAAAACACACACAGACCATCACTCAGAAGGTGAGCTACTCAAAAGCTTTATCGCCGGCCGTAACCATGGCAACTGTCTACAAACACGGTTTCGGCTGTAGGCCGACCACGATGAGGGCAGGGCGCACCCGTCAGAGCGACCGAACAAAAACCAGTGTGCAAAAGAAATGCAGATGTCTGCTCGGAGTAGCGAGTCGACGTTGCTTGAGTAGAACGACATCAATGAGCACACAAACTAACAAGCAGGCCGGTGCAGATGTCTGCGGGATTGGCCGTGAACAAACAGATGTGCACTCTCTCGCAGACACCCATACGCTCGTGCACGAACAATCTTATTATTCCCTGCTGCCAATAAGATCAACTGAAACACGATCAAGACCATTGAATTGTTTCTTTAAAATGAAATAGCTTGGCCTGCTGTGTACCCAGACCTCAGTGATTGCTTTGATAAGTACAGTTTCATCACCATCTAAAGAGATGATAGTAAAAGCTTCGACAGTTTGTCAGAATTATCCATAAAGCGATGCTTTTCGGCCTGTGGAAAAGGCCCCATTCAACCCCTTAACCTGTTTATCCTCAGCTTGAGGCCAACAGGCGGTCACGGGCGCCACCGGCTGTCGTAAATCACCATGATTTCACACAGCGACGCTGTTGCTGTGAACCTTGTGACGTCGTCATATGTTGAGATCTGCCGATCGTGTATTACCCTCCCTGGAGAAAGCGGCGTAATTACTACGGCAAACAAGCCGTAAATGCCACGTGTGATTTTTTGGAGCGTAAAAGTGAAACTGCAGACTTGCTCGTGGAACACGGCGGTCAGCAGGGAGTCTGAGCGGTCGGGGGTTTGTGGAAGAACACAAGGACACCAAATGTGGAACAAATCTGTTCGTTCCCCGCTCTCCGTTTCAGGGATCGGACATCTGACTCTTTCTGGGAAACGCGTTGTCTTCCTGCTTCTACGCTGCTAGACAGGAAATGGAGAGAGTCCGGTTTCAAATGGTTTTAGTCGACGCGCCGTCCGAGCAGCCGACATTCAAACAAGGTGAATCATTCTGTAACTCCACTTCACCGCATGTGGCCCACTTCCGCCTGGCAACCCACTTATTAGAAGGAATTGCAGCTCACGACTCCACACAAGCGAATAATGTTTATCCCACTCAGAAATCAGACACGTAATAACGCTGACGGGTAAAACCATTTGTTCCTAAGTAGTTGGACCCGTGCACAATAAATACATTCATCTCTGAAATGTGATGTCTGCTTCAGGGAGCACCGCAGTGAATGAAAGAACGTTAGTGGGAGGAGATCGCCGCGTCCCCTTCAGATGAGATTTGACATCCTTTATTGCACAACGAATGCGCCGCCGCAAACGTTTTCAGGAGAGAGATTTTTGCATTTTTTTCAAACTCTTGTCACTCCTGACAACGCTGCAGCAATTTGAGTGTGTCTGGACAAATCCCGCCGCGTTCCCACCGTACGGAGGACCTTTCTAGCTCAGACACGCTTGGCGTTAACGTGCCAGAACCATGAGGGATTAATGAGAGCACCTGGAAGGAGGATCAGTGGAGCTCAATGGAGCTCAATGGAACTGTGTAAAAACACGCTGCGTCGGAGCGTTTTGTCCTCTCAAAGTTGTTGCGCAATTGTTTGGCACGTTTTTTTTCTATTTAGAACGCTGACTTGTATGGGACATTGAGTATTTTTTTTCCCATTTTTGTTTGTATGTTGTATAATGAATGGTGAAGACAGGAAACAACACTGAACCCGCCAGTGTGCGTCATCAGAACCCCGTCCTGCCGCTCCAATATCAGAACCACTTCCAACTATTTCTTTCCAAAACAACCATCCAACATTCACACCCACTTCGGGCCCTTTGCAAAATGGGTCGAATTGGATTTTTTTTTTTTCCCTAATCATGACAAATATTCCTTTCACCTTTTGTATGAATAACTGCAACCCTTCTCTCAGCTGCCCATTCGCTCCACCTTCAAGAACATCTGTTAACATTTTCCAATGTAGTCGGACAACACGTCTTTCAGAATAGCTCTTTTACATCACAACCTGGCCATAAGAGCCATGCATGCTTGCAGCACATTAAGGCTGACGGCTAAAAGCCGGATAAAAGCGTCTGCTAAATGACATGTAATGTAATGCAATGTAATATCCACATTGCTAGCAGTGATGATGCATGCATCTCTGTTTTTAGCACGGCATCATTTGCCAAATAGCACAAAGAACAAACTATCCCTGAGACTGATGGGAATCCCAGATGAAATGTCCGAGGATCACCGAGGTTCTTTCAATTCATCCTCTAAGGGGAATATGAATGTCTGCAGGATTGTGAGGCAACAGTTGGGATCAGAGAAAGTTCAGAGCAATGCGAAGAGGTTGCGTCCGCGGGGGGGGGCGCAGTCTGCAACTGTGAGGCGTGCAGGTGGCGTGCATTAGGACGGAGCGGGTGTGAGCGCGTCCAGCTGCTGTGAGTCACTAAAGGAGCAGCTGGACAGTCTGAGACGGTCGCAGAGTGAACCCACGGTTCCCACATGGCGAACCCATCGGCCTTCATCGCGTCCCATCGCACGACACGGAGGAATGCAGCGAGCCGCTCAGACCCCACTGTTGTTTTAGAAACGATACGTCGCCCCCAAATCACACGTGTAGGCTGTTCTGAGAATCCATCTGTGCACCGATCATCAATCTTCAGGCGTAAGAGCCCTGTTTTTTCCAAGAGAGGCGTCAACGGTTTATGTTACAGCGTCCAAAAGTGAGATCATTATGAGCGATTTTACAGAGGTCCAGTCAGGTAAGTGGAATTGAAATAATCTATCAATGGTCTTTTTTTTAATGCACAAACCAGACTAATAGTCTGACTCACGTTCAGCTAAAAGCCTAAATGTTTGCGGCAATTAAGTTTAAAGAGGTGAAGGCCAACGGCTAAATAAAGCAACAACTGTAATGAGCTCATTTCTAAAGGTTTTCTGTTGCATTTTGGCTCAGAAAAAGATTTCCGATTCATTTTGGTGCGATAACATTTGATGCATCATTTGTATTCATGCCCTCTCTGCTGTTCTGGACCATTGCAGGGAACCCGACAGCCTCATCCGCCATGACTTACCAATTTGGCTCAAGAGTTTGGCGCCTTAAACGTGTGTCCGTTTATTAAGCCTCTGCCTTGAGTTCAGAGTCTGTCCAACACCAAAAATTCTCCCAATTTAATGCTGGATTTTTTGGGGTCGGGAGTGAGTGCCTTCCACCAGACTGGGTGGATGTTTCGATAGATGCTGCAGATTTAATGAGGTGTCGGATCAGCCCTCTGTGACTCGCAGCTGTTGCATAACCTCATCAGGTAAGACAGTGGAGCGCTTGTTAGACGTAGCGTCCCACCGTGTAATGACCACTCAGCGCCGGAGTGTGGAGACTCATGGTCACCTCCAGCTGTGCTCGTAAAAGTCTGTGTCCTCAAGCGCGAGGGCACCGATTTAACTTGTTTTAGGAAAGAATGTATTGTGAAGAGGAACCTTTGTGTGGTGAATATAACGATTTTCTTTTATGTCACATAATGCCTTTCCCCCCCCCCCCCTCACGCATTCAACATCCGTGAAGCTTTTTCCAGTTTTGCCAGAAAAAACAAAACATTTAATTATGGATTACAGTTATTTCATGTTTTATGTACTTTATGTAGAATAAACTGACGCGGAACCAAGAGAAGGTCAAATGTTTGCATTCGTATGCGAGTACAACTACTATGAAAATAAGGTCACCAGCAGCGTATTGACAATTAAATCAATTGAGCTCCATAAAGTATCCTACAATAATGTAAAAGAAGGATAACAGGTCGGCTTCATTGGGGACACGGGACATGCTGCTACCACAGACCCACACAAGGAGAAGCTGAGCTGAGAGTCTCTGG